CATTCTCGTACAAATATAACTATTCATTTCGAAACTACGTAGTACTCATTCTAGCAAAGGTAGTACTCATTTTAAAATAAAGAAGTACTCATTTTTACACATTTGTCTAATATAATTATAATAAATAGCGTAGTGTTCATTCTTAAAAAAACAATACTCATTCTCAAATAAGGAAATGTTCATTCTGAAATAAAGTATTGTTCAACTTTTTCACAATTAAAAAGTTCAGTACCATCATCAACTTCTTCCTCCATTCGATTCGTTCCTACTCATTTATACTCTCTGAGCATGGAGAATTTAAAACTCAGGTTTATTCATGTTTGTATTGAATAAGAATATGATAATTCTCATAAGTGCTGGTACTCATTCTCAAATCTGCTGGTACTCATTGTCATATATAATACTCCGTAGTTTCCATATATGTTTTGGGCATTGGATAAAAAATTCATAAAATTTACAAAAATACCAAATTGTACCTAAAAGAAAGTACAACTGGATGTACCATATAATTTGCCGCCTAGAACCCACCCGTGAACGGCGTGAACCCGTTAATGTGTTGGAAAAGGACTTTAATCTACAATCTAGATTTAAGGATTCCCCTAGACCAGCAAAATGATTTTCGAAAATTACTTTTTTACTCCATCCTTAAATATATCTCACATTTACTTTTTCAGGAGTAGCTTCATTGATTATTTGATAAAATAAAATATTTTTAACACCTCTTATTTCGAAGATGAAGAATGAATACTTTCGATTGATTAATTGTGTAGGAGTACAACCGTATTTATATACAAAGCGGGACTCGTAATCATGGTAGGAGTATTATAAGTAAGGAAACCTATACAAAAGATAACTACCAATAATACAATGATATAATAATAAATACATTAAATATACTTAACATAAATATATATTAAATATATTTAACTGGAGAACTTTTCATGTACTTTTTATACGTAAATTTTAGTTTTTATCTCTATACAAATATAGAAATAAAATATTCTTGACATATAAGAGCATTGTATTAATCAACAACGTAAACAAATAATTATAGAATAAAATTTAACTTATAAAAATTTTCAAAAGACTTCACACGATTTCAAAATAAATAATATTAACATTGGAGGGTCTAGGAACTACATCCGAAGTCTTATTTTCAATAAGAGCATTGTATTAATCAACATAACATTTTCATAACTTTACCAAAAGATTAAGTTTGTGGTTTTAGCTCAAAAAAATGTTTTATATTATTATCTCGGTCACAAGATGTAAGCAACAGGTACTATTTTAATCTATCGATAATTTTTGTTTGTTTTCTCGTTTTGGTTGACCATCTGATAAAATTAAATTTTCTTGTCACATCTTGTTTTGTAAAACTTTTGCTTTATTTTTTGGACGGTGTAATTTTTAATTTTTATTAATCTACCAATCTATAAATAAAATGATTTTAAAAGGAGTGATATATTTCATATCACTCGAAATATTGTTTACATTTTGGGACGGAGGTAGTATTATAATGGGAGAAAAACGAAAATAGCACTCTTAGAGCTTTAAAATACTCTAAATAGCAGAGCTATATGTTTCGTACCCGTGATTCCGATTTTGTCCTTTAATTAAACAGCAACTATTCATTACATACTGCCATAAATATCATGTGTGTGTGTGTGTGTATGTATGTATGTATTCATGCATGTATGTATATATGGAAAACTAATTTCAAACAGCTAATTTTACCAAACATTTTTAACGATCAGCCAATTCATCATGCCGGTCAAACTAGCTAAACTAAACAGTCATTCACAACAGCTGGCACGAACTGCCAACAGCCAACATCTAAACAAGGCCTTAGAGTGCTACGTATGGTGATTTCTTTATTATAATACGACCCTTTTGTGCAAGTGTGGTTATTTCAAGCCATGCACGTGAAGTTTTATTTTTAAAAAAATTGGGCGCCAAAGAGTTTCAAACTTGTGTTTTTTTGTTATCAAGATTCTGGTACCATATCAAGAAACTAATTCAATCAAAAGCTTAAACTTGTAGTTATGATCCCATTTTTTATTTAATATTCTAACACACACAATTTCACTCTTCTTAATCTTCTATCTATATATTTGTTGAGTACCCTGTATTACGAAGGAAATAACTTATTTATCCTGATTATATAAGAAATGTTGTGATGCATATAAAAAAGTATGGAATTTAAAAAGTATGGAGTAACAATGTTGATGATAATGATGATAATAGTAGTAGTAGTAGTAATAGTAGTAGTAGTAGTAATAGTAGTAGTAGTAATAATAGTAGTAGTAGTAGTAGTAATAATAATAATAATAATAATAATAATAATAATAATAATAATAATAATAATAATAATAATAATAATAATTTTTTAATAATAAAAAAACAAAAAAAATAAGTTGAACGGAACGGGCTAATGGCCTGTTTGAGAATAACGTTAGAGATTAGCTTCAGTGTTTAGGATAAAATTTTAACTGTGCAGATTACTTTGAAAACACTAACGCTAAACGTGTTCGTAGATAGATTTTTTAAAAGAGTAAGTAACTCTAAACCCAAACATTTTACAAAGCCACAAACGGAGTACTAAATGTGAGAAGCCACAAACGGAGTACTAAATGGTGCGTATGACAGTATATCATATCATATCCATGTGGACCCCTACTGCAGTCAAACTATCTCACTCTGATATTGGCACACGTTCTTGTCATCCATTGTTGTTACAACTTAATATGTCTCCTTAATAATACTCCATCCGTTCTAATATGCAAATGGTCCTAAAGTTTATGTTTATTTTAAATCTGTATTTCTTTCAATCAATAATAATTTGTATTTTATTGTGATATTTGATTGAAATTAATTTAAATTATTTTATATGAAAAATTATATGAAATTAAAAAATAAAAATTACACATTTAAAAAGTATATGAAATATCTAAAACCCAATTAATTTTATCCAAATAATTATTTAAAATTTTGAAATAAAATCTATACATTAAAAATCACGTCAAAATTTTCATAAAACAAGAGACAAGAACGGCCTTACTTGAATAGAATCTGTTCTATATATAGGGCGGTACTTATAAATCTTTTATTCAAAAGAGATGACACAATAATATTATTTTAACAAAAGTTTTAAAAAAATTAATAAAAAATGATTTGTTAATCAAAAATTTGTTATATCTCCGTCCTTAAAAATGATTCTTTTGGGTGAACGAAAAAAAGAATGAAGAAATACGGAGTAATAATTGCTAAATATTTATGCGAGCGTTATTCGTTTAAGTACATTATTAAAAAATATTTAAATGCACCTACAATAATTTCGACACATCCTCCACATTTTGAAAAAAATGAAATTGTTTTCGAAATTGTCTGGTGAGGACGATTTAAATAATTCATATAATTGAGTCTCAAAATTAAATTATCTATTTTTTGGTTGTTCTAAAATAAATTTTCAATTTTGCATTTTGACATGCATTTTTATTAGTAATGTGTGTTTTTTTTACGGGGATTCCTACAATGAATTTTCAAGCTAATTTTTTCCATGCTTCTTTTTTTATATTTAATTAATGTGTTTTTTTTACAGTATTTTGTTTAAAGAAAACAAAAAGGAAGAGAGGAGTGAGGACGCGGCAATGCACATGTGGATGTACAACATCCCGATTATAATACGGAGTACAAATAAATACGGAGTATACTGTATTAAATATTTCAATTTAAGATTTTGTTTTATTGACCTCAGCTCAATAGTATTAAATATTTCTGTAAAATTTAAAAACAAATTTCATATACTTTTAAAATTATATAAAGAGATCCTATAAAATACTAGTAAGATATTATTACTTCCAATTACTAATTATTAAAGAAAATAAATTTAGGAAGAAGATATTATTTGACGTGCATAAGCAGTAAAGATCAAGTTTTTTCAACCGCGGTGAGTAATAGTGAAAGGTCCCGCACGCCCGTGGTGCCAGTCATTTATCTCAGATTTCATATATGTATTTATTATACAGCATAACATGATAGTCGAAGACGAGGGAACGAATACTACTAAACGAGGGGGTCGCATTCACTTACAGGGCCACCGTCGCCAAGGTCTTGCGACTCAAGGGCCACCTCGCGAATTACAAGATTTTGTAAATCAGCGTGCAAGTATGTGAGATGAGCAAAGCCATGCTACCCTCCAAGATGATGTCATCGAAGAAATTTGGATGTACAACAATACTTAATTGTAGCATTAATTTTCATTCATTTTATTTTTTATTTCAATGTTTTTTAAATTTTAAATATATTTTTGTGTATTTTGTTTTTTTATTTCGATGTTGTTTTAAATAAAAAATGTCAATCTTAGTATTTTTATTTTAATTATATGCATTTTTTTTTTAAACTGAAATTAAAAATGGTGGATAATGTAGAACGATATCATTGTAAGATTTTAGAGCGAACAAAAAGTTAGTAAAATATTGGCGTGGTAAGAATTGGGGTGGGACAAAAAAGCCCCCATTGTAAACGCATAATATACTCCCTCCGTCTCCAATTTGATTAAAAATTTCGGATTACGGAGGAAAATTTTCTATTTTTTGAAATCATTTTATTTACAAATTGGTTATCAATAATATATAAAACTTACATATTAAAAAACTACGTCAAAAGTTCTACAAAACAAGAGGTGACAAAAATATTTTATTTCATCAAATACTTAATGAAATCACGTAAACAAATAAAAGTTATCGAGAGAAAAGAGAAAAAAATTGTAATTTATTTAGGGACGGGAGGGAGGGAGTAAATCTTATTACTCCGTAATTAATACTCCACTCGGGATCAATTGGGCTAAAAAGTATGACTAATTAGCTTTTTTATATACAAATAAATAAATGCCCAGCGAAAACACACCAAAGATACATCGAAACAGAGAGAGAGAGAGAGAGATTCTTCGGGAACCAGAAAAGCAGAGGCAATGAGATCGTGTTCCTCGTGACTCACTCTCAGGAAACGCCACCCCTGCCATCCTCCCCAGGGGCCCCACATCACCATTTATCTCAGAGAGCGAGAGAGAGAGAGAAAGAGAGAGCGAGAAGAAGAGGAATGATGTGGGAAGGCGGAGAATCTGCTGCTGCAGGCGGAGGTTGCGCCGGAAGTAGTAGCGGGCGGAGGAAGCCGTCGTGGAGGGAGAGGGAGAACAACCGGAGGAGGGAGAGGAGGAGGAGAGCCATAGCTGCTAAGATATATGCCGGTCTTCGAGCTCAGGGGAACTACAATCTGCCCAAGCACTGCGATAATAACGAGGTCCTCAAGGCTCTCTGCGCCGAAGCCGGCTGGATTGTCGAGCCCGACGGCACCACTTACCGCAAGGTTCACTTCTTCTCTTTCTCTCCCTCCTCCTCCCCTTCACTTTTTCCCTTCTTCTTCTTCTCCAATTTTTCCCGCAGATCTGGTGATTTACGGAGTGCGATTTCAATAATCTCACCGGAAATTCTCTCTACTGTAATAATCCTTTCGGGGAGACGCTTGATTGATTCCGCGTTTTGAATCGGAATGGTCTGATGTCTACTGTTTCCAGGAATTTTCATGATTGATACCAGTCAAGGGACTCGGATGATTTCCAGAAATGGAAATCGGATTTAGGGATTAGGTCTTAATTTCCCTTAATTGCTTCTCTGAACTAGGGATTTACACTAGTTCGGGCCCTGGATGGACCTTTTTTTTCTACATTTGGACCACTTTAAGCATTTACTTTCTGAAACTTTGAATCATTATATGAAGCCTGGAACTAGCTCGTGATCCTTTCTCTGGTTGATCATCTCTTTGCACTGGGGTTTTCTACTTCAATTGCATAATTAAGAATCCGTTTGCGAAGGGCGAATTCGACTTAAACAAGCTGTTGAAATCGTGACAGATATGGATGAAATTGCTAATAAATTTTTAATTAAGATCAAGAAATATTTATGGAATATATGGGTTTTAATGATAAAGTAAAGAAATGCCAGATATTGAACATTCATTTGTATATTCTTTGATTATTAGCCTCACAATCAACTAATGGCAGAGAAGTGGCAATAAAAGGGCCACTAAATCAGTAGAGAATATAATAGTTTGGGACAACTCATTGTGCTGAATAGACAGATGGTTTTGGTGTGTGTGTGTGTGTGTTTTAACTGGTTTGAATGCTTGTTTTTCTGTGTTCTCAGGGACGGAAGCCGAGCAGCAGCCCGATCCCAATGGAGATCGGAGGCACTTCGACGAACATCACCCCAAGCTCTTCGTGCAATCCCAGCCCTCCATCTTCCTACTTTGCCACCCCTATCCCTTCTTACCAAGTCAGTCCATTGTCCTCTGCCTGCCCCAGCCCAACCCGTGGCGGCGGCGACAACAACTCGTCCTACCCATTTGCATTCCTCCATAGTGGGATCACCTCATCACTCCCTGCCCTGAGGATCTCAAACAGTGCCCCTGTAACTCCACCTCTCTCTTCCCCTACCAGGAATAAACAGACTTTCAACCTGGAAACTCTGGCCAAACAGTCCATGTCGGCATTCAATGTCTCTAATTACTTTGCTTCTGCCCCAAGCAGCCCGACCCGCGGGCAGCGCTTCCCTGCAACCATTCCGGAATGCGACGAATCTGACACTTCCACCATTGATTCGGGACAGTGGATGAGCTTCCAGAAGTATGCACCGACTTCCCCGACATTCAATCTGGTGAAACCTGCACCTGCTGCTGCTACTCAGGGGGGTCCTTCCAGAGGGGATGGGTTCTTGTTCAATGAGGAAGGGAAGATGAGCATGGATTTTGACTTTGAGAAGGTTGCGATGAAGGCATGGGAAGGGGAAAGGATTCATGAGGTGGGTTTGGATGATCTGGAGCTCAAGCTTGGAAGCAGTCGCACTTGTTCATCATGATGAGGAGTTGCTATTTCACTTCTTCATCACCACCACCACCACCACCACCACAACCGCCGCCACCACCACCACCACCACCATCAAGTTCTTGTTTTTTTTTTCTTTTCATTTTCATGTTACTTTTGGTAATTAAAGACTCCGGTTCAAATTCTTTGCTTTAAAAAAGAAGGAAAAAAAAATTAATTTTTACCTTGTTAACAGAAAGGAGTTACATGTAGATATATATTATTTGGAGTTGAGATCCCTCCTCTCATTGCAGTGGAGATTTAACAATTTCTCTGCAAATTTGAACTGTCCCCCCTCGGAATTTATGTTGAAATACAGTTGCAATTCTCGTTTGTGTTCGGTTATTTAAATTACTCCTTATAAATTACTGTATCTATTTTTACCCTCCCCATTTTTTCTTTTAAGTGCATCTGTACATGTTTTTTTCTCCCCCACAAACTGAACAATGACACCAAAAAAAAATTTCACATTTACTTGATTTCCTTTTTAAGAAAAAAATATGTACGGAGTAATCAAATGAATTTTAATCACATAATTTTTTTAACTCGGGTAAATATTAAATTAAGAATATACGGGGGGGGGGGGGGNATTTTGGAGAAATGTTTGGACAAAAATATAGGTAAATTTTTGGAGAAATGTTTGTTTGAATGAGTCTCATGGTGTGAATAAGATGCCAAATAAATTTGACCAGCATTTTTTTTTTAAATTAAAGGCATCTGAGATCCATGGGTGAGCTTTCTCTTTCGATCTGGCATGTTCATGCACACGGATGTTTTTAAGAGCAGACAAAATAACGAGGAAGAGAGAGGGGAGAGATGCCATTTGATTCATTGTGTTTTACTACTACATGTTACTATTAGTATAGTTTGACTTTTTTTACTTAATCTGGATAAATTTTGATTTTTAAATAAATAAACAAATTAAATAGTACTAACCTTTTTCTAATTTAGTACGTACCTAAAGTTTTTTATTCTCTAAATAATTGTATTTGAATAATGTCCAATGACGAGAATAATGTTTAGTTGCGGTGAACAATTGTTTTGAACAATGTCTAGTGGTGGTAAACATTTAGTTGAATAATGTCCAGAGGACTTTGAAAAATGGTAGTATACTGCGAAATTAAAACATATGGTACCATATTGGGAGACTCACTATTTTTAATGTTATATAGAAAAATTCCCGTTTTTATTAAATATACTCTCCCATATAAATCTTTTCCGAGTTTGTCTTTCTTGTCAATTACTCAAAATTTCTTACTTTGATTAACGTGCAAAATCCCGTGATTTTTAAAATCATTTTATTCACAAATTGGTAAAAGAAATAACACGTAAAAGAATTATACTCCCTCCGTCCCTAAATATTTGCCACATTTGTATTTCCGAGGCAAAATATCAAGTTTTTTCAATTCATTTTATTTACATATTTGTATAGAAATAAAAAATAAAATTTACATATCAAAAAACTACATGAAAAGTTCTTCGAAATAAGAGGTGTCAAGAATATTTTATTTTATCAAATAACCAATGAAAACGTAGAAATAAACAAAAGTTCCCGGGACTGCTGAAAAAACAAATGTTGTGAATATTTTGGGACGGAGGGAGTATTTAAAAACTACATCGAAAACTCTACAAAATAAGAGGTGACAAGAATATTTTATTTTATCAAATGATCAATGAAAACACACAAACAAATAAGAATTATCGAGAGGCCGTAATAGTAAATAGAAAAGACTTTTTGGGACGGAGAGAGTATCATATTACATTAACATGAATATATCCATTTTGAAATATTCCATTTTTAAAAATATATATTTATATATAAATTAAGATATTAGCGAAGAAATAAACCTTGGTAAGACTAAAACATAAGCTCTATTCTCAAAATAGAAGTGACTATCAAAATAGGACCTAATTTTTTTAAAGAAAAACAACGGATATAATGTTAAAATAGATATTTTTTTCTTATTACAAACTTTGAAAATGTAGGGCGTCGATAAAAAATCCTTATTCTTTTGTATTTCTGAAAGAATGTTATCCAAAAATATTTAAATATTTTTGATATCCCAAAAAGAGTTTTATCACTTCACGACTATGTTTTACCTTTATCAATAAGAGTATTTTTGCATCTTTTTTCTTTTTTCATTTCTTTTTTCCATTAGTCCCTCTTTTATTTTATTTCTTTTTTCAATTACATATTTTCTTTTTATTTTGGAAAAGAATAAAATGAATATTTCTTTTCATAAAAAATGGTTTTTTTAAACCTAAGACAAATGAAGTACGGAGTATATGATAATTTATTTTTATAGTACTAATTTTAAAAATTGTTTGTGTTTGAATGGAAAAAATGGAGAAGGATAGTGGGCTCTAATAATTTCAAAAATAGGCACCAATACCCAATCTCTTTACCAAAAAAGTGAACAATTTTAGTTAGACTGAGTGCCTGTGGAGCATTTAGAAACCATATGAATTTTATAAATAAGTTTCAAATAATGTAGGGGATATTATTATACTCCCTCCGTCCCGAAAAACATGAGAGTTTTGATTTTGAAGGAGGATTTAAGGGGAGTGTATTTTGGTATTGAATTTCCAAAAATGTCCTTTGATGTGATGGGTAAAAGTATGATTTGATGGATAGATTATTAGTAAAAATGTATGATGTGATAGGTAGGGTAGGAAAAAATAAGGGGTAAAAGTAACTTTTTAATAGAAATGAGAAGTGTTTTTTGGGACAGATGAAAAAAGAAAAGAGAAAGGTTTTCTGGGACGGAGGGAGTATATACTAATTTTGAAAATAAGGTTTAAAAATAAGGGATACTGGTGCTTATTTTCCAAAACTACGGTGGACTAATAATATTTCCTATTTGAAACCGTTCATTTTAATTCAAAAAAGGCAAATTAGATGAATATTTTAGATAAACAAATTTCTTCATTGAAAATTATGTTGTTTCTATCTTATCTAAACACAGAGTAAAATTTAATACTCCGTAACTAGCTAGTATGGATCTATGGAGGTCAATCTACAATATTATACGGAGTATTTATTGCCAGCATTTTAAAAAAAATAGCTTTATTTAGAGAATAAAAATATCTTCACTCTCTTCACTCTGTTTGCATCTCCATTTTATTAAAAATTAGATAAAATAAAATAAACACGTATCCTTGTTTTGTAGAACTTTGATGTCGTTTTTAAATATGCAAGTTGGCATGTATTTTTTATTTATTTGTAAATAAAATCATTATAAATAGATGATATCTTGCACGTACATTATTTGAAAAAGTGATAAATTTAGACGAAGGAAGCTAAGTCTCGATCTTATGTGTGAAATGTAGGGCTTGTTTGGCAATAACATTTGAGGTTCGAATTGGTGTCTTAAATATTTTATTACTCTATCAGTTCACCAAAACGATTTCTATTTTGATTAATAGAGAAACAAGAATTGTATATATTTTTAATTGACTTTCTAATTTAGCCATTGGCATGATAAGTAAGATAAGATGCAATGAGTAGATTAATATTGAAAAGTATAATATGATAGGTAGGATAAAAATTAGTTCAGGTAAAAATGAGTTTTTAATAGAAAGTAATTAAAAGTGTTTTAGTGAAAGAAAAAAAATGAAAAAAATAATTTTCTCAAAAACAGAGGTCAGAGGGAGTAGAAGATAGAGGTTAGCTTTAATATTTTCAAAGGAGCAATGTTAGGTTTACAAACAGAAATGGTCACAAACTTCACAAATTTACTATTTATGATTTAAGTTTTTATTTTGAATTTTGTAACCATTTTGTTTGTGAATCTAGTATTTATCTTTTCAAAGTTAATCTCTATTATTATTTTCTTTTATCCAAAATGCGAACTTTATCTAGCTAATCGAAAAACTTATTCCGAACAAAGCCGTAGTTAAAATTGGAATTCAACCACCTTCAAACCTCTACAGTCCAAAAATTAAGTACCTCTTTTAATTAGAAAATTAAAAATATACTCTATGTCTATAAAGAAAGCAATTTTAAAAGTCACAAAAGTTTATATGTTTAAAAAAAACAGTATTTTTTTAATAGAACGAATGGAATATAGTACGTACGTAGGCCGGCCACACTGGACATGACCACAAGTTAAAAGAACCACCCGCCCGCGGGCTCTATGTGTCTGGAGCGGGCATGCAATGCATGCATCAAATTAAATCCAAAAACAGTTTTCTATCAATTCATTTCAGTGATTGAATGGATTTGATACATTACTTTGGATGTTTATTACCGATCCATATATGATCTGCATAAGATATTTTTGATTTAACGTTCAAGGCCTCACCTAGCTCCCATATTACTTTGGATGTTTGCTCTTCCTGTCAACGATCTACGATTAAAGTTTAATTTACATATTATTAGTGATCGTTTGATTGGATCTGAGGAAACTTCGGGGATGGAGTTCATCTTTTTTTGGATGCTTACTCTCTCATTTCTTTGTAGATCTTTCCAATATGTATTACTCCATCCGTCCTAAAACAATCTACATACTCAGTTACTATTCACACGGTCAAACTTAAATCACTTTCTTTACCTATTTTTGCTACTTATTTGATAAAATAATATAGTCTTGTCACATCTCGTTTTGTAGAACTTTTAATGTAGTTTTTAAATATGTAAATTTTGTTTTTTTAATTCTGATCTACACCTACACTCAAATAAATTGAATTGAAAATAAAGTCGGTCAAACCTCGTAAACACACAAGGGAAGATGGTTTTAGAACAGAGGGAGTATGAGTTTTGATCAATATTATTTTTATTTTTTTTATTTGATTGTATGTATAAAATTTAAAAAAAAAGTTTACTCGTATATAGTAAAATATGACATCAAAACTTTTACTCCCTCCGTCAGTAGAAGTGTTTTATGGAATGCGCAAAAAATGAAACAGGAAAGACTTTTTGGGATGGAGGGAGTACAAAATAAGAATTGACCCCAGCATTTCAACCTCACCCTCTTACAAATCTTAGAAATATTACAGACATTCGACAATATTCCATAACTCTAAGTACTTCCTCGGTCCCTAATTTGATTACAAATTGGGGTTTACGAGAAGAAATATCTCACTTTTTGAAATGATTTTATTTACAAATCGGTATATTGATAAGAAATAATAATTGCATATTAAAAAACTACATCAAAAGTTCTAGAAAACAATAGGTGACAAGAATATTTTATTTTATCAAATACTTAATGAAATCGCGTAAACAAACAAAAGTTATCGAAAGCAAAAAATAAAAAAAAATTGTAATCTAATTGAGGACGGAGTGACTATTTGTTAAAATGGGGTTAGAAGTGGAGTTTAAATGTTGGGGGCCCTAAGGCATAACCCTTACAATTATATGCAGTCCGTATTTTTTTTAGGGACAAGTCGATCTTGTCGTATCTGTAACAATAAGCCCTCCGAGTATACACTTCACCTAATCCTCACCCCTCCCCTTACCCTACGCGCCCATGTATACCTACGATCTAGCTATACTCCATACGTAATATGGAGTAAGTGTTCTTTGCCACCTAGTGTATATTTTCATTCTTAACTATCAATTTCTATTAAAATTTAATTTATCTTCTTTCAGAGATCACTTGATCGGATCTGAAGGAACTTTCGGAAATGAGGCTCATCGTTTTCTCATATATACCCTTAGTGTGCAACTCTATCTTATTCTCATATTCTCCATAGGAAAACGTACAAACATTACTTTAATTATATTAAAAAAATAACATTAAGTTTACTTATATACTTCTTCCGTCCACAAATAAACTTTCCGTTCACTATTTACAGGGTCAAATTTTATTCACTTTGTTGGCCTATTTTCGTCACCCATTTGATGAAATAATATAGTCATGTCACCTCTAGTTTTGTATGTCTTTTGATATAATTTTTTAATATGTAATTTTTTACTTTTAAATTTTACATCATTTTTCATATAAAATAATTTGAAAATAACTTCAGCCAAACATCGTAATGCACAACATGAAGTTTATTTGTGGACGGAGGGAGTATATGATTTGATAATAATTGATCTCATTGAATAAAGAATATTTATATTAAAGTTAGAATAATTAAGAAAAATAATATGAATAAATATGGTAACAACTACCAACACAATATGGAAGCTAGAAAGATATGGAAACTAACAATAATATTTCTCATTTCTTCTATTATATCTTGGTAGCTGATCATCGATAACGATAAGAAGTTTGAGATTAAATATTGAAACAAAGCTGGTGGAAGCGCTTTCGTGTGAATGTTAACAAAAAAGATGCTAGATCTTCGTTGCATGACGAACGACTTAAATGTGTTTGCTGATTTTTCTTCCAGCGAGAGGTTCAATTTGGCGATTGAAAGCACCTTTCTCCTTTTGGGCCATTTGTTCGGTTTCACTATCAATTTTTATCACCTTTAACTGTAGAAGAAACACAGACAATTACAGTTTTCTCTTTCTTTAATCACGCACACGAAGCGATGAGAACCTGTCCTATCAAAGTGTTTGAAGTTGGGTAAGGCCTTAGGCCTGAGATATGCTCGAAGTCCAAGTTAGGGTCCATAACCTTAGAAGGTATGACCCAATCGAGGTGAGATAGATAATTAGACCGGAAGGAGACAATAATATTCGGGCCAAATTCAATTGAAGAAGAATCAAGCCCAGAGATGCCAAGAGGGGACTTAGGAAGATTGGGCTGAAGCAATAATTAAACCTCAACCCATAAGAGGACCGGGTCACCAAAGAGAGGCAGTCCTCGTCACATTTAGGACAGAGGTGATAGATGGATTATTTGTCCACTGGTCACTGACTTGGAGTGGAGGAGGCTTTCAAAAAAGGCTTCAACCACTTGAGATATATTGATAAGATGGTCGTTAGGGAGTCCTATAAATTTTGTCTTCCCTTTGAGATAATAATAAAAACAATAATAAAAAACATGTTTTTTTAATACTAATAATTAACTCTATTATAAGTTAAATTTGTAATTAAGAGTACGAAAACATATATCTTTTCTCAATGTAGTACATAAAATTTTTTATTTCTTGAATAGTAGTCGAACAATGTCCAGTAACGAGAATAATATCTAGTGGCGGTGGACATTTACTTGAACAATATCCAGTGGACAAACTGGACATTGACAATGATACTACATTGAAAAATTAAAATATATAGTATTACGTTGAGAGAGTCTATGATTTCACTGAACCACATGGTCTTCCATTAAAAAAATAAAAATAAGTTTGAAAAAGTCACAATCATGCCACTGGCTTAAAAAAATATGTTAACACATGTTTGTTTGATACCTCATCGGAGCTCGTTTCGTACTTCGTCCCATATAACAAAAATTAATGCAATGGACTCCCTATAAGTTTAAACGTGTCATGTTAAAGGTAAATTATTACATACACCTAAGATTCATGATGGATCTTTATATATGTTAAATCGGCCCAGTTCTAGTGGTACCCTTCTCCGGTGGAGGGTTACGGTGGGGTTGGGGTGGG